CACACACTGAGACACCGCAACACACACTGAGACACTGTAACACACACTGAGACACCGCAACACACACTGAGACACCGCAACACACACTGAGACACTGCAACACACACTGACAGACTGCAACACATTGCAGCACGCTATCACACACCAACACACTGTAGATCCTGTAGAAGACCAGAGACTAAAGTGACCATGAATCACAGACAGAGCCTTGATGGGAGAGGAGAGACAGACTGATAGAGTAAGAGGAGAGAGAGACTGATAGAGTAAGAGGAGAGAGACTGACAGACAGAGGAAGAGGAGAGAGAGACACACTGATGAGGAAGAAGAGCGAGAGGAAGAGACAGGCTTGACGGAAGAGCAGGAGATGCTGTCCTCACTCACATGTTCTCCTTTACCCCCCTTGGCTCCCTTCTGGCCGGGCTCTCCCACCTCTCCCTGTAATAACAGCGCAGCAGACAGTCACAGCACGGTAATAACACAGTAATAACACGGCGACAGCACAGGAACAACAGTGTTGTAAGTGCGGCGTGGCAGAGAGACACCGGTGCTCTGACTCTCCGGTGCACACAGCTGTAATAACTGTGTCATTAACAGGGGGGACGTCTAGTCATCTGCAAACAGCTGTGGGGGACAGAGTGGGGCATCCTGCAGCTGGAGTGTGTGTGCGCCCCCTGAACCCCTCCCCCGCGACTGGCCTTGTCTCCGTCCTCTCCTGGGACTCCTGGGGGTCCGGCCGGGCCCGGGAGGCCAACTGGGCCCTGGACACCGTCTCGCCCGGCTGGGCCAATCGGACCTTTCTCACCCTGGAGGAGAGAGGGAGAGGATGATAGAAGACGTTAGCACACAGAAGACTGTAATACTGACAGAAATTCCAGCGGGGCTCTGACACATGTACTCAGTACAATGGCGAAGCAGCAGTTCTAACGCATCAGCTCGGTCCTGAATCAGGAACGACAGGGCCTGCAGTCTGAGGTACGTCTGGTGTGAAAGAGGCTGCACCGCTCTCCTGTTGCTGATTTGAGGGGCTCCTTCATGATGACGGGCCTGCGCAGAGGGGCAGGACAGGGGCAGGACAGGGACAGGACAGGGACAGGACAGGGACGAGCTGTACTCACCGGGACACCCTTCTCTCCTGACGGGCCGGGGGGGCCCTGGGGACCTGGTCTGCCTGGGGGGCCAATGGGACCCCCTGTTCCTGCTGGACCCCTCTCTCCTGGGGAGCCCTGGGAAACAGACGGACAGGCAGGGGGGTCTCAGACACACAACGGCTGTGCAGACCAGCTGGAAGGCTGAGCGCTGAAAGGAGACTCACCGCTGGGCCAGGGGGACCTGCAGGGCCTTCATTCCCCTTCAGTCCTGGAACACCCTACATCACAGAGAACTGGGATTAATACAGACCCTCACACAGACCCCAGAG